GAAAAAGAAAGGAACCCCGAACAAACGTCTCGGAGGGCACAGATATTCGCGCACAGGTTTCATTTTCCTTGGTACCGAAGAGACACGCGAAAGAAAGGGGTACCCGTGGACGAAAGGAGGTGGAAAAAAAACGGGGCAGAAGAAAAAAAAACAGAAGCGGGGTGGTAGTAGCAACGGTAGTAGCCTAGTTTTCCCCCGGGGTGACAATGAAGACGAGTAAAAAGAGGAGGAGTGGGACGAGAGCATAATGGGATCCAGTGGCTCGGTAGCGGCGGACTAATAGCGGTGGCTGCCTTCAGAAATAGTAATGCCTGGCCGCGCAATACCCCGGCGTCGGTCCGATGGTGTGGTAAAAGCCGCGGTTGCAGCAATGGCTCCGTCGCCATGGCTGTCCTCCACTCGGTCCTCCTCCGCCTCTATATCCCCCCTTCTGGCCCACCGACTTCGTTTCTCTCCTTCGACCCCCGTCCATTAATTAACAGGCTTTGTACTTTTAAACGATGTTAAATAAACGGCATTGTCCGCCAGCGAAAGGACTGAAAAGCAGGCGCCATTGTGCTTTAAGCCCCCGGTCCTCATCGTCGTCGTCGTCGTCGTCGTCGTCGTCGTGGCCCCCCGTTCGTCGTCTCGCTCTCCGAAAGCACGGAAAGAGAAGGAAGGAGAAGGTACTGGCCGAGAATACCAACCTACTAATACCGTGCCGGTGCCGAGAAGCCTTTGTTCTAAACAAATACGCCGACCAACCACTCTCCAACCACCCACCCAGCCCACCACCCTGCTACTCCTCTTTCGACTTCCACTGGGGGGAGGCCCTTGTTCCGTTCGTGGTACCTGCCTTTTGGAACGGGAAAACGTGTATCGATTGGATAGGCTATAATGTAAATAGCGTGGAAGGAAAACCATCCCCCTTCGACGGTGCACGTGCGACCGGGACGTACTCGAGGATCGATCGTGAGTTCACGGTGTTGCTTATTGAACCTCGAGGTTTAGTTTGAATGATTGTGAAAGGTAGCAGGCGTTAGTAAAAGTAACCGAGGAGAATTAAGGAGAAATGATACATTATCTGAATTAGGGTTTCGGGAGGTTAATTTACTGATTGTATGGTGCGAGAGAATGAACGTTTGACTGATCATGTGACTTGCTGCATTGGTATATGAATGGAGAAATTGACGACAGCAAAGTACGAATGGACAACTGCAATTATGTCGACTTTCACTTTTATAGATGAGTAGACTCCAGATATTATTTAAAGTTTATTTATGTGAAAAAAGGGAAAATCAACAAAACTGCAGTTGTCTGTACTTTGCAAGAAAAATTTAATTTCATAGTCACTCTGATTGCCCCACCGTGGACACATTTTCAATTACCAAAAATTCCAAAGAAGAGAATGATCTATTATAGTTTGGCCAATGAGGTCTGGGACCACGCCATTCATGTGCAGAGAATGGCGATTCGAGACTTAAAAAAGGGTAAAATGTTCCCAGAGCTCTAATAAGAAGAGAATAAAACGAGAATGCAGAAAGGGTGTAAATATTCCGAGGTACACGTTCGAAATAACAGTAGATACTTTTCGTATTGTTGAATGAAACTTACAAAAGCACAGAATTTTCCCAGAGCCCTGATAACAAAGGAACAACCGCGAGAACATTGTATTAGATTAAAATGAAAATTCAGAAAGAGTATAGTTCCATGGTACCACGTTCGAAATAACAGTAGATACTTTTTCGTATTGTTTGAAGCGTATCGGAAATGCTCGGAACAAGGATTAAGAATGGTCCGACACCACTCGCCGGGCTCGAATGCGTTATCAGCGCTCGACATTGTCCCGGAAGACAAAAATCTCGGATGTGTTTCCTCTCCTCCTCTCGCATCGTTCCTCGAACGTTCATTGTGAACCACCACGTGTTCGTATTGTCCTAGCCCGTTCTCTCTGTTTTTCTCTTTCTCCTTTCTTCCCTCTCTTTCTCTGTGTGTGCCTCTACTGTGCCGAGCAACTCTTTCCATTGTTGTTGCCTGCTGTCAGCAACAATAACGAGGAGAGCAAAAAGATCCATCGGGCAACGTGAATCCCATCCTCTATCTCTTTCTTTCTCTCTCTCTCTCTTTCAGCTCGTATCTGCTCCGGTGCGCCTCGAATTTCCGGTAGTGTATCTCCGCTCTGTATCGAGAAACTTTCATCCCCCTTGAGCGATTCCTCGACAGACCCGGTTCTCTGTCCGCTGGAACGTGCTCGTTCTTAATATTACTCCTTGGCCCCGATTCCTATTTCTTCCTCTGCACCCTTCTCTACTCCCATTTTTGTCTTCTTCGCTTCTTCTTTTCACTGAATATTCAATTTTTCGTTTTTGCTTTGAAGCAAAATTACGCAAGAAGAGAAACGAGTGGACGTTCGATGTTTTTGGATGTGAATTGAAAAGTAATGATTGAGTGTGGAAATGTATTTCTGTAAGAGAAGAAGTATTTTTTTGTTTGATGGCGTACAGACCAGGGAATCTATGGTAGATTTAAAAATATATAAATTCTTGAAATCATAGGGGGTGGAAGAGGGTTGGAGGATATTTATGAAATTTTATTCTTGTAAATCACCCTACAATAAAAGAGAAACTGAACATACATATACAGTCACTCATGAAGTTCTCCATATACCCCATAAAGATCACTTTTGTGAGATGCACAATTGGTTTATTTTTTATTTGTTAAAATATTCCCATAGACTAATATATACTCATAAAAGAATTGACGCTAACATGTCAGTATCCCTCAAGAGGTTACTCCTTTAAATATTCACAATCACTATAACAAATTATACATACAAATAGTAACATTCTCGAACACCAAAGATGATCGCAACAACCCTGTTCCAAACCAAAACCGAGAAACCATACAGCGATCACAAATGTCCAGAGCAGAAACGTTAGAAGAAACAATATGGCGACGTGTGTCGAACGATTTTCACGATTAAACTGTTTTACATATTCGCGTCGAGCGTCGAAGGGCATACGTAGCAGGAAGGTAGTACGTTTGCCCGAAACAAACAATGTTTTCGTGGCAAAATGCTTCCTCGTCTCTCTCTCTCTAGCCTCTCTTTTCGCTTTGACGTCGTTGTTCCTTCAGCGGTAGCGGGTCGATTGTTTCCCCGGGGAATTAATTACCACTTGTTGTCGGGGACGCTAGGCTGTAGCCGCGGGGACAAAGCGCGAGAAGCGCGCTTGCATCCTGGAAACGGAGGCCCGGTTCGAACGAGAAACGACGCAGCCGCCGCGTGAAGTCCGTTTCTCCCAGCGGTTTGCCACGGTACCGAAAACAAAGGGCAACGCCGAGGTCGCGCCCAACTCGTTGGCAACAATGCTCACCGATTTCGAGACGCCTGGCGTCTTTCGATCTTTGATCTACGTGCTAGGGCGACAGGATACACCGAAGCTTTCGTTAGACGACGTCTGATCCGATCGAAGCATCGTGAAAATTTATGTATTCAATTTTCGAGGGAGACTTTCGATTAACCTCATGGATGACTGGGTCCATTTTGACCTGAGTTTTTGAAAATTTCGTCCAACTTATGAGAGTCTGAGGAGTAAATAAACCCTTTCATATCACCAATCTCGGACAAATATAAAAAGAATTCCCTAAAAATTCATATTTTCATGAAAATATTGAGCAACTATTAATGTCATCGAAACTTTCATTTTACTACTTGTGCTTACATAAAAATATAGATAGCTAAATACCTAAGTGCTGCTAAATTTTGAATCTGAACTACTGTGTGTATTTACCCCACTACAATTACTAAATAATATACAAATTTTTAAATAATAATTAACATACAATTCTAAAAATAATATACAAATTCTTTTTCACGTAGTAATCAAGACTAGAGTGTGTCAAATCGACAAGTATATATCAGGCCACGTGTTTCCCATCGAGCTGATAATAATCTATAAAAATTTTGCAACCTGTTCTTCAGATCAGAAATTTTCATTTTTACCTCCATGTACGTACCTCGAATCACGTCAATGTCTCTCGAATCCGCCATAAAGACATTGAAGGTATTAAACCATTCTCCTCGTATGTAAACGTGACTACATACTATTGAGAACAATCGTCTTGAATGACACAAAGGGTCGATATACGGAGTCTCGGTTGGAAAGGTGGGGGAGGAACGAAAACGCAATTTTCCACGCGGACAATCGCCAACGAGGCGGATTTAAATGAGGCACGATTACGGCCTCGTCGATAATTCAGGCATAGCGGCTGGCTCTGCCGGCGGCGGCACACAACACGGCCGTTTCGCCGGGTAAACACTGCGTCCAAATGCCTTTTATAGTCATTGATCGAGCGTGTGATCCAAGTGCCTATCGTTCGTTTACAAACCCGCTTTATATACCGTCCCGCAAATACGCAGTCGAGAGAGAGCTCAACGTCGAGGCCTATCCTGACTTCTATTAGTTGTCCGCGAATGGTTTGCTTAGTCATTGAAAATCAACTATTTGTTAATAACCGAAGATTCATTCATCGTGTAAAATTTCATTTCTGTCAAAATCGACGTTTATTCTTATTATTAACCCCTTACGATTTATTTTGAAGCAGACGTGCCTGTATCAGTATATAACTAAAATATTTTAGTTTCCATTCAATCTATTTATAAATATATGGACATTGTTAAGGGAAAGAATAATAAATATAGAATAATAAATAGAGGCGTAGCCCGTCAAAGTTGAGTTTGGCGCAGAGACATGATGCGAGCGATATGAAAAGAGTCGAAGACCTTTTATTTCCCTCTTTCTAATTTTAATGAATTGATAATGATTCTATTGTGTTGTTTCATGTTTTATGTAAACCTTCTGTATTCTAAGATTTCCAAAGGCCTGAACATTCAGTCACTGGACAGAATTCATCCTCGATCGACTGAAATTTTTAACGATTCAATATCGTTGAAGTTTTAAACTAAAAATTCTTGTATAACTCGACTGGTTTTAATCATAGAAACGAATCGATTGTTCCAGGTGCTGAATGGAAGCTGCTCACGGAGGACGAGAAACGACCGTTCATCGATCAGGCGAAGAGGTTACGGGCACAGCACATGAAGGAACACCCCGATTACAAATACAGGCCGAGAAGAAAGCCGAAAACTTTGCGGAAGGAAGGCTACCCTTACAGTATTCCGTACCCGAGCGTGCCATCCATGGATGCGATTCGAGCTGGTAAGTTGATCCTTTCAAAGTTTCAACCAGTAAAATTATTACTGTGACTTTCGAACTCTTACGTCGTCCGCTGGAAACCTTCCTATATAACTTACCGTTACTTCTGATAAGTCGGAAGAAGTATTTGGAAAGCGTTCGAGTTTTATTCCAAGTCGTATAATTATCATAATGTACTTACATACATTATACCTACATACAACTTCAGCAATTCGTGCCTCTGTGATCGTACATTTACTACATAGGAGCTGTCCAACGTGTTTCCTAGGTTTTATTAATAATTTTACAATCATTACAACATTTATCTTAACAAAAGGAACGAAAAAGAAATCGTCGATAAATGATCACATATTTCATCGTGTCATCATAAACGACGTACAAAGTGGATTTATAGACAGAGAAATATACACATCTTTATCTCTATCGCTTTTACCATCGACCAGACACTCGATAACGATAATCACCGGAATCACTTAAATTCATCTTCCAAAGCGATTTATCACTATAAACTACCTTATAAAGAGCGTTTCTGGACAGAGAAATATACTCGTGTAAAGACGTCTACCATCGACGAATGACTCGATAACGATAATCACCGGAATCACTTAATTTCACTTTCGAAAACAATTTATCACTATTAACAACCTTACAAAGCGCGTGTATAGACAGAGAAATATACACATCTAAGGACTTTTACCACCGACCAGACACTCAACGATAATCATCGGAATTTCTTAATTTCACCTCCTAAAATAATTTGTCACTATAAACGACTTACAGGGCGCAACTATAGGCAGAGAAATATACACGTGTAAAGACTTCTACCATCGACCAATCACTCGATAACGATAATCACCGGAATCACTTAATTTCACTTTCGAACACAATTTATCACTATTAACAACTTTATAAAGCGCGTTCATAGACAGAGAAATATACACGTATAAAGACTTCTACCATTCTATGAAGATAATCACTGGAATCACTTAAAGTTACCTGCGAAAATAATTTGATCGAGCCCCCACCATTAGGATGCCGATGGAAATAATGTGATTACGGTTACGAAAAGACAAGGCGGGGGGGGATCGATCCTCGGTGGATCCAAGAGAATGCCCACCGTCTGATGGTGTGTTGCGCCCGGTTTGCGGGGGAGTACAATAGGGGGAGAGGGAGAGGGAGAGGGAAAAAGAACAGTTCGTCTGGTAGGGCTCTGATATTCTTATCTTTTCGGCTCGCGTTTCAGTCGTATTGTTGCCGGCGATGCCCCCGGGAATCCCTGGTCGGAAGTCTTATAATAGCGATTTCTTCGAGGTTCGCCCCCCGACTCTCGTTTCCTCTGCCATTTTCTCCGCCGTCTCGTTAATGGTTCACGCGTTGCCCGTTTTCCGCGCGTCAAAGACACGTAAAGCGAACCCGCCGCGACGCGCATTATCGTGAATAACCACCGAATGCACTTGGATAAACATACCGCAGCAGACCGAACACTTGCGATTGAACAGCGACCATCGATGACGTGTCACGTGAGGTCAGTTTTCACGACGGAAATTTTTATGCTTGCGGTCGATCGTCCTTTGTTCTACTGTAGTGAAAAGTGAGAAGGAGGTTTTCGTGTTTCGATAGTCTCAGAGCAGTGGATGATCCGTTAACTCTTTAGGGTTAGGTGGGTTAAAAACTCTCCCACCTTTACTTAGCTTTTTATGCACGGTGGGATATATTTTAACCCACCTCGAAAAGTTGAAGTTACTCATAGTCATACAGTTTAATATTTTATTTTTATATAATTTTTTTTATATTGAAAAAAAATTCTGTGCAACTAGGATATTTATTTTTTTTTAAATCGTGTGCCTCAGAGTTAACCCAAGTATTGCATTCTTTTGGTATTTTGAACAATAATTTTTTCACGTGAAGGATATAATGGTCATTACCCAAAAAATGGTAATTTCCTCATGACGACTATACTAATCAAATTAAGGGGTTAAAAAATGGAGGGGTAAATATGAGTATATTTCTTTCAAAATTAAGGGGTTGAAAATGGAGGTTATTAACAGTATAATGACCGGTTAGTGTCACTAATAACTTTCACCTGCAGCTGTTTTTTTACCAAGGATTATAAGAGCATGCTTTTTACTGTGTATGTAAAAAAAATCAGTGCCTTTGTATATCCAAAAAATACCATACAATGCAATCTTCCTGTTATGACGCAACAGAACATAAAAATCGTTAGATAAATACACTTGCTATTAACTACGTTTCTTTGCAGTCACATTATCTTGATCTTCCATAACGGTGTCGTGATCCATACAACTGTATAGAGATAACAATAAAAGAACTCTGGTTTAGTTTTAATAATAGCTTTCTCTATCTCTTCGTAGCTGAAACATTTGGATAGTAGATAAAGGATCAACCTAAATCTGAGATATCGTTGATCGTATCGGGATAAATACACACCGGAAGATCATTTTATTATGATTCTGTGAAACCTGTGGAAACGACTGTCCCCAAGCAGCCCGTAACTTCTCCAGCATCCACGTAAACGCGTTCACGGGCATTCTTCGGGTAGAGGATATCTTCGGGTTCATTCATAAACCCCCCATTCGGTCCTATAACCGAATCGAATTATTAATTCCGACAACGGCGCGATTAAAGTTGGAATTTACCTCGTCGCCCACGCGACACCACGAAAAGTGATCGGTAATCCTCGATTTATCGATCGTACCCCGAGTCTCTTCTCTTCTTGTTATTCTTTTATCCTCTTTATTTTCTTCGTACTACATCCTCCTTTAACGAATCCTCCCTCTTTTATTTCGTTCTCGTGGTATGGTAGGTACTTCGTTCCATTATTTTTTAGAATACAGAAGCATTCTTTATGGAACTAGAAGTTCTATAAAGTTTCGAGAATTATAATTCTGCAATAACGCACCTTCCACAAAGCTATTTTGCATTTTCAATTCAAATTTTCATGAGCGTTTCCTTATGAAAAAAAAGTCTGCTCTATCGCGTGAAATGGTACGATTTTATGCTAGACTCTTGCATTTTCAGATAAATTGAAAAGTATCACCACAAATTAGTACAAAATCATTGTTAAACAATCACAGTCTACTGAAAATTAATATCACTACATTCAGAAAAGTCTACAGAATCTTTTGATGCAACACAGATATACATATAATACCTTTTATGATTACGTCATAAACTTCGTGTTAATTTGAAAAATATGAATTTCCTCCAAAATCAAATTTCTAAAAAATAATGTGTCTAGAAAAAAAACGGTTTGCAGATTCGTAATCAGCACACCAAACCCTACAAGAATCGCATAGTGGGAATCGGAACGCTCACTGACTGTTGGACAGTGTGATTGGTCCCTGTGTTTTCATAAATTCTAGTTACTTCCTCGACTGCAATATTTGAAACCAGTTACATTACGTAGTATATATAAAATCACAGTGATGTCGCATCAAGCTTTAATTCGTCAAAAGCTAACTCGAGTGCGAAAATTTCTATCAGCTGATCTCTATTGATCGTTCCAATCGTCTAAAAGGTCAATTCATCATCATTGCAACAATCCTCCATTTCCCTGTGACATTTCTAACAATACGTTCAAATTTTATACCGAGGTCGAAAGGGTTAATGGTCCACGGTAATACGTATCAGCACTTTTCTCGTCTTTACATCTCCACGATGTTCGATGTGGCTGACATTTAGATTCTTAGAACGCGATAAGGTAATCGGCTACCGATTCCAATCCTCCATTCTCTTTCCACCTTTACCGTGCTACATAAACCCCCAGCCCATTTTTTTCTTCTTCTTCTTGGTCGACCGTTGGGCGAACACGTCCCCGCACAGTGGCACGCGCATAAGACAAGTGCGTGGGTGGCTGGGATAAATTATCGGCTTAGGCTGGAATTTCTGACCTCCGGTTTCCGCCCGTGCAAGATAGCGACTTAAGCACGTGAGTTAAGGGGGGAAACGCCGTTTCTACTTTTGATCGTCTCTTACTCTCGTTTTTCCCTTATTCTGCGACTAACCAGCGCCTCCGACCCTGGACTCTTCGCCAGGTAAAATCGATTCTTTTTTCCCTGCAGTTTATATCCTGTACCGAAATATTTGGTGTATCAATGAATACTTTATTATTTTGTCCTGAGGTCAATGTTTGTTTTTTCGTGGGAATTAAAAGTGCGTGATTGGCATTGTTCGGTATTATTCTCCGATACTGTGTCGTGTTTCATGGAACACAAAGGTCGGAAAATATGTGGAATTTAAGCTGTATTGTCATCTTATTAAGAAAATAGTGAATTACTCATTGGTACACCTGTTATAACAGATACTGAAAAAAGAGTGGAAGGTTTACCGTTTTCCATTTGTTAATCGATTATTATGTTTTTGATATTCTTCAAGCGAAATTTCATTCATTTTCGATGAACAGACTGTAGAGTTTTATGGAAGTTTGCATTTTTTTAGGCCTATCGGAAAGGTAAATGAACGAACATATACTTCCAATGCCAAGGACCTTATTAATTAAACCACACGGTAGGAATTACGCTGGGTTAACGTTGTTTATATAGTCCGCGTTTTACATCTGTTTCGTACGTATGCTCCCATCAAGAAAGAAACTAAAATTAGAAAACTTTAAGATTATCAATCAAGGGTAGTAAATCAAATAGCAAGAGAAACACAAGCTTGAACTGATAAATTTAACGGCAAGACGAAAATGAAGCGATCACGCGATGGCTCACGCGTGTATTTTCAAAAACACGGGTCAGAAGTTATCACGACGATCGGCCCTCGAAGGGCTCGGTATAAATCGTCGGGTAATTCCCTTTGGCGCGGAAGGGCTGCGCTTCGTGCGGACGATTCATTGGTCTTATGCACGCGAGAGCATAAACATGTCGCTGGCTCATTATTTATCGAATTGTCTTAGTCCACGGCGCTATTAACCGCGAGACCGCCTATGATTGCGTTCCGGGCTACATCTACGGAAGCACGTGACCAAGCGAATCAGATTACTAATCGCCGGTAGCATCTGATCAACCGAAACAGATGGATCTGCTTGGAACGTTTGAACGTTTGAGACTTTGAAATGTTTGAGACCTTGAGACTTTGAGGATTGAAGACTTTGGGACTTTGAGACGTTGAGGATTGAAGGCTTTGAGACTTTGAGGATTGAAGTCTTTGAGACGTTGTATATTGGAGACTTTGAGATGTTGAGGGTTGCAGCCTTTGAGACTTTGAGGATTGAAGACTGGGACTTTGAGACGTTGAGGATTGGAGACTTTGAGACTTTGAAGATTGAAGACTTTGAGACGTTGGAGATTGGAGACTTTGAGATGTTGAGGGTTGGAGACTTTGAGACTTTGAGGATTGAAGTCTTTGAGACGTTGAATATTGGAGACTTTGAGATGTTGAGGATTGAAGACTGGGACTTTGAGACGTTGAGGATTGGAGACTTTGAGACTTTGAAGATTGAAGACTTTGAGACGTTGAAGATTGGAGACTTTGAGATGTTGAGGGTTGGAGCCTTTGAGACTTTGAGGATTGAAGACTAGGACTTTGAGACGTTGAGGATTCAAGACATTGAGGTTTTAAGGATTGGATGCTTCGAGACTTTGAGGGTTGAAGACTTTGAGACTTTGAGGATTGAAGACTTGAGACTTTGAGACGTCGCGTATCAACAATTATTGTCAAAATATCTCTACATAACGAAAGCTCTTAATCACTGGCTGCGATCAGACCTTCCTTACAAGCGATCGCCGTTGATCAGATTCGTCTCGTTCAACTGGGGGAATCATGTCTGTCGATTTCGATCCGTCTGCCTTATCTCCAATTCCGTCGTGAAGTCTTCCCGCGGAATCATGGGAACAGATGTTCGATGGAATCGGTGGTCCACGCGTACGCGTGCACACACGCACACGGTCCCCCACCGACGGTTTACACAGATTTGTTTGACGTTCCGGCCTCCCCATTGTCCCCATTGTTTCCCGTCTCATACTCTGGATTACGTAATTTTGAATTTCTCCGCGGCGCGCACGCGCACGCGGCGAGTCAAAGAAAAACGGGAGGGTGGAACAATCGCGCGAAATTATGATCGTGAATGGGCCGATGGCGCTGGGAACAGAGGGCGGTGAGGAAAGGGGTGGGCGGACAGGGAATATTCGATGCACGAAATTTCCATTTAGCTGTCACCTGGGAACAAATAGTCCGCGCGAAATCGATGCCGCGAACAGAATACACGCGATTCCGACGAATTTATCAAGACTCGCGGTGAATTCCGTTTCGTTTTAGTGAAGTTCACCATCTCTTTTTTTTTTTTTAAATATTCGGTTTACTTCTCGAATATTGAGAAATGCGCGGAATGGAAGTTTTGGAGTTTATTACAATTTTCGTTTATTTCGCACAGAATGGAAGGAAACAGGAGTTCTCATCAAAATCATTGCATTTGTGTTTAACAGTTTTGTTATCTTCGAGCACGTGACAACGACACGTTCCCAACGTTAATCACGCTTCCCAAAATTGTTGACGCTTTTGTAAAACAAAGAACTTAAGAGTAACTGTTCGATCGAGAAAATTACTATAGCAGATTCAAATTATATCCAGACACCTCCCCCACAAAAACGATAGTCATTGTGCAACAAACTAATGCAAACAAAATTTGAAATTGTATAGGGTGTTAAAAAAAAGAGGTCCAGGATTTTAGGTGCTTACAGTAAATATAAACGTTTGTTTTCACATTTGTCACGTATGTCCAATTCAATACAAAACTCACGTCTGCGGATCATTTTCAAATATTCCTCCCTTATTTCCAATTGGCCTATTGTCACACAACCTTGAATTAACATTACTTCTAACTCAATTTTTCTATTCACATTCATCATGTTGCAAATCACTCATGATATCGATCATTTGTAAATATGAAAGTCAATTTTATACCTAAAGATTCATTTTCAGGACTTATATTAATAATGTTAATATTAATAATGTCTAAACGATGAAAATTGAATAGGCCACAAATTCGCCGCGGTGTTGCACGATTACAAAATCGCGTCTAATCACGCGCGTGAATTCCTCGTTGCCGATCATAAATCTCGCCGCCAATCATCCCCTTGCTTCTTCCGTGGACCAACGGCTTGGCGGCTCAGGCATATCAAGGCGACGTTTCGTTCGTCGTCGTAGAGATCCACGTCCGCTCCGACAATGGGGCTTCGTTGCTATAGGTATTCTTTCATCGCGTTTCCGTCGTTCGACAACGATGATCGATAAGCCGTGCAACACACTTGCACCGCCGTGGTGGTTGTATAACACGCGGCCCTCGATATTAATCTCGAACGAAAATGCCCGCTTGTTCGGTTAATCATTGGCATTGTCGATCGTCGAGAGAACGACTGATCGAAGATGAAGGAACGCCTCGGATCGGTCGATTAGGTTTATTGTCGGTACGTACGCGCGTTTAGGGAAAACGGGACGTTATTGTCTCGTATTCATTCACTACTGAGAACAAGGATCTTTCGATTATTCTTCCTTGTAGTTGGAAAATTTGAAAATTTAGTGAAATAGAAAAATAGTATTGTCCGAAGTGCGCGGTATGAAAAGTGGTGTTTGTTGTATATTAGGATTCTGATATCAGGTATATATGTGATAATTCGACTGGAGATCTTTGTGTGAATGCGAATTTTTATTCAATTATAAGAACAGGAATTTACTAGAAATTTTGGTTTTTCTTTAAGTATTATTATTCTAAGGATTGAACGTGTATTCGTTTATATGGTAAATCCTTTATCAAACATTTTTCAGTATGTATTGTGTAATGGACGTATGTTACAAATTTGGATGGTTTACTTCAAATTTGTTGGGCTTGATAACTTAAGACCAGATGCTAGATTACCTACACGTGGATGACACGACAACGTGTTAACGCTTAACTGGTGAGACGTGGTCCACGGAACCCCATGGATATTTATAGAATATTTTATTTTCATTCAATAGTTACTTAAAAAGATATTAGTTTACTTCGATATTTTCCTACTTGAGAATGCAAAACGACTAGTTGCATAATAAATAGATTACGAATTTTATGCGTTCCTATCACAGAAGATCCTCCAGAAAGCATTTTACGTACCTACTTCAGAGTTTCATAAAGTTTAACGAGGTTTTTATTTCATTTGGTTCCCGATAGAATGGTAAATAAAGAAACCAAATCCCCCTGACTCCAATTCTCGTAAATCAGTCCATAGAAATGTATATTTGAATAAACAACCGCAATCCAGTAATAAGTAATAAGATCTTCTGTAAAATTACAGAAACTTTTGGATCATTCGACGAATGATCAGTTTTTTTGACAGTTTCCGAATGGTCTGTTTCAGGAATGGCTGGCAGTATGGGACAGGCTGGAATGGGCTCGTATTACGGTCCCGCGGCGGCTTATGGGTCCCTATCTGCGGCCAGTATGGCCGCGGCAGCGGCTGCGGCTGCCCAGCAGTCTGCGGCGGCGATGTCCGCGGGCCTCGCGGCACCTGCTCAGGTGAGTCGACGTTTCTTCTAAATAAATACCGTTCAGAAGTCTCTATTTCACTTATACCCCGGTATACAGGGTGGGGCAATAACTATGTCCACTTTGAATATTGCCGTTATTTGTAATAATATGTATAATATGAAAAAATTTACAGGGTATAGAGGGGGGCATATTATGACACAAACATTTTCTGCGTGGATGAAGGCATAGAGGAGATTTCAAGGTCATCCCTATTTTTTTTTTAATGGAATGCTATGTTTTTTTTATCGCGATTTGATAACTGGCGTTGAGACGACGTCAGTGAGGTATCATTGAAGGTCATGCAAGGTCAAATGTGGTAGTAAAATAAAGTTTCTTACATTACGCGAGATGCTCGAAGTGGTGACCGTTTGCGTCAATGCAAAGTTGCAATCTTCGTAAATAAGTTTAAGTCCTGTTACATATGGAAACTGTGTTCTAAAAAAAATTGCGTTACAGAAGGGTAGTGCAATTCTTGCGCCGTGTTTTCAGAGTATCGTGATGTAGGAAGGTTGTGTGAATCACGTAATGTCCTAAGTCGCAGAAACAGAAAAATATTAAGTCAAAGAATTTTCGTCGTTTTGAAACATAAAATTGGGATCCATGAATTCACAATCAACTTCTGTTTCTTCGAAAATGTAACCTCCAACTACACCGAAAGCTGTTATCTCGACCGCGACCCTTTCGCTTCGTTCCTTCGATCCACGATCCAGATCGTCGGATTATTTCGAAAACGGCCACGCCACGGGTTCCGTGTCGATTCCGGTCGTTGCTCAGGGCGCGAAGTGAAACGAATCGTGACACGAGCTTCCGTAAAACACGCTGCGTTTTCGACACTTGCTCCTTCCTCGTCGAACCAACGGCAGGACGTTGTCGACCGGGATACGGTGGCTTAAAGCATTGCGACAAAGTGAACGTTGTTGCAGGGAATTTTGATTGTGTATTGTTAGTGGAAACTGGCTGCGTCAGTTTATCCCGCAGCTGAATTCAGCGCACACGTTGCGTTTTCGTTCGGTCGTTTCAACAATTGAACCGTGCGACACTGTTACACCGTGGAAAATGGGAAAATGGCCTGGTATTTCCGTCAGTGAATGATATTTAACAGAAGTAAAGGAGAAAATGGAAATACAGTGGGTCCATTAATAGAAATATTTATAAATTAATCATCTCCTTGTGTCAGTTCGACACATTTTTCTTCTAAGAAATTATAGTGATCTGTCACGTTTAGGTAAATTTATCTGAGGCTCCCTAACTTTTTTTTTTAAAGGGTTCGCAAATTTAATTATTTATCACCACATTATACTAATTTTTTTTTACAACTGTCAATTTTACATCGAGGGACAAATTAAGTTGGGAAAATCAGAGATGAATACGGGTTAATTATTTGTTAGCGTTTAAACGTTACTTCGAGTATTTTTTATTTTTCTTGACTGGTCAATTCGTTGGGCTAATTATAAAAGAAGTTGGGAACATAAAATAGAGAAGTGTTGGAATAGATATTCGTGTAGGTGGAGCAATAATTTCATTCGAACAGTGGGTAATAGGACAATCGATTCAATTAGAGAACAGGTTTGATCTAATGGGAAGGGTGGAGATCGACGAGTGCTATTTGTCAGACGCAAAAAAAATGCGTAAGATACGTTTGTGCGGGGAATAACGTTATCGAGATGCAAGCGGAAACGAGCCACCCACGCGTTTATTCCTTCGATGTCCCTATTCAGCGGAATTTGACGTCGAGAGACCCGATCGGGGAATCTCGGGATTTATCGCTGCCTTCGCGTGTCCTTTAGGAGCTGGTTCGTCCCGACGAAGTTTTATTAATCATTGTCAAAATGTGAATTTTCTTCCCTTTTCATTGAAACCTGGAATTTTCGAAAGTAGAGAGTGGACTACTAAAATCATCTTCTTTATCTTCTGACCAGAACAAAATAAAAGACATTTCAAACGCGAAAATTTGCAGTAATTCAAGGATTCAAATCTGTTGTATTTAAACAAGTCTCCAAACAAATTACTTAACCCTTCTGTTCTCCTCACTCATTCTTCACGTTTGTATCATTTCGAACAAAACTATTCCAAATTCTGAAACGATTCGTTCTTAAAAAGTGGACAATACACAAAATATTTAAAAACACAATACCTATTGAAATATAATCTTCGATTCGGGTTATATAAAACCAGGGTTAAATCGAATTCCACAATTTTCCGACGCGAGCAAGGGAGAAGTTTTCCAAATTACTAAAGCCTCATCCATAATACATCATCAAATAGTGATCTTCAACCCAAGAAGACATCCAAACCAAAGTACCCACCACAATTATCAAATTCTACACAAAAATTCCCTAGAACCGACTATCCTCCCGCGTACCAACCTAAAGATCCACAAAACCAATTCCAACAATTTTCGGATCATCCAACACGAAATCCAATTAGCCCAGCTCGAAGATCCACTCTATCTGATTCGTCCAGAACGAAGCAAGAGGTGCCTCTCCAGGCCCAAACCAGAAGAATCAGCCACGTTACGTCACCTAGAGTGCCGTCAGGCGAAATTGTTCGTCGATCGTGTGTCGATCGAGTCTCGAAACACGCTGGGGGCGGCTAGATCGTCCACAACGGGGTCCGAATGAGACCGAGGAGCGGGGAACAGAGAACGTAGGGACAGAGTGAAAAAAAAAAAAAAAAGAACGGAATAAAAGAGGGAGATAGATCGCTGATGAGAAGCAGCAGGAGCAGCAGTAGAGAGAGGATATAGGGAAGAGGAGAGAAAGAGAAAGCAAGAGGGAGGAGGACGATGCGGAGGACGAGGCGTAGGTACGTTTCATTCGTTGTCGCAACAAAGGGGCCCCCGGGTGGCTTCGCAAACAGAAACCGGAGACCGTGGTCTGTGTATGAATTTCCGCAGCTGGGTACGGGAGACAAACAGATAGCTAGTTATTTCTGCATTCAACGGCTGAATGGCCGACGCGTCTGGAACGACGCACCGACGCGATACAGCCCGACGACTATTATTGGCGAACGCGGCGCGGCGCGCGGCCGAAGAATTCCAACGCGGCGCGGCCTGTTATCGTCCCTTGGACGAAACGGCGACGTCATCGCCCGTCACACGGGCCCGCCCGTCATTGCCTCGGGGGGGCCCATCTAGGGCCTGGAGGGGCTCCTTGTTCGAGCGATGTTTCGAGGAACCCAGAGAGCTTCTTGGATGTTTGCATCGTGGAAATGAGCTTGGCAAGAAATCACTGCTGGCTGGGAATACCGGTTTAATACTAGAACTACCGAATCAGTCAAAATGACGGATTTCAGATTTTTTATTTTATAGTTACGGAAATTTCTCTGAATTTTTACTCAATTTTTTGTATATTTTATATTATAGTGTACAAAGGTTTGTTGCATTATATGTTAACCATCATTCGTTCCTCGTTTTCCCAACTGAATTTGTCCCTTGGTGTCAAATTGACCCTGTGGTAAAAATTAATATTATAAATAGTTAAATTTGCAAATTCTTTGAAGTAAATGTGAAGTAGTGTTTAAAGTGAATAACGTCATTTGTTCACACAATATACAGGTGATGGTTAATATATTACACAATTTGACCCTTTTGTTTCCAAATTATTTGAAAATTTCTAAAGAAATGTTTTATTGCATTTTGGTGTACGTTACGTGACATTAACATTTTGAATCCGTCTAATGCTATTCTTCATTCGTTGCCATTTTACAGATTTTCTACTTTTATCATTGTTATATATAATAATTCTTATTATAATGTTATTGTACATGCTAAGACTTAATTTATCTCACCGTTGATCAGTAAACCCTCTTGAAATATTTAAAAGAAATTAAAGTTTGAAACAGTGCTCAACACTTAATTACCATCAACTGAAAGAGACGAAGGACTTATTTGCCGATAAGCTTTTAAATGCGTTTCAGTCGACTCCGCTCTGCTAGTGGATTTAGTTCACTGGTACAACTAATGAAAGGATCAGATTATAATGACGGACAACAACAAAGTGTAACGAAAATGATAACAACTATTGTACTATAAAATGTGCAATGTTACTTTTCACAAGATCTGAAGAAAACTGGAAAGTGTAACGAAAATGAAAAAAAGAATCATTCTTATATGAAATGACAATAGTTACTTTCAACGAAAGCTGCTTCTAACAGTACGAAGGCCCATGGAACGCACATAAACTCAAGGACCAAAATCCGCGTTTCAATCGACTCTCCGTTCTCCATCGACATTAGGTCCAGGTCGAAGGGCGCAATGTGGGTGAAATATCGTCGATATCTCAGTGTGCAACAATGGTTCCCCGGTTGACTCTCTTCGGTCTAGTCAAGTTTCCTGACCTGGGAGAAGGGGCCATTTGGAAAATAAAGCTAGCTAGAAAAAGACATTCCACTCTCTCTATTCGCTGTTCCCTGTCTCCTCCAGGTTAGCTATATACGGGTGTCTCCTTCTTTCTGCCCGTCCCTTCGCTCGTCGACGACACATGGCAGCGCCAGAGAATAGACGCTTTTGTGAATGAAAACAGAAGAGAAACGTTTCGACGTTATTGTACAGTTGAATTGTGACATCGTTGATGGTGGAGGATAATTAAGTCTTGCCAGGGCTCCAAACGTAAGCCACGGTGAACGATAGAGAAGGATTCCCTCGAATGCTTCTCTGTTCATTTGATAGCCTCCGTCTCGTGACGTTGGAATATTTTTTCTTTTTATTATGTCGACGAAAATGGGCCACGATGGTTTTCCGAAGCTTTGCATTTGTTGATTGACTTCTTTTCTTGAAACCCTCCGTGCAGATGATACAATTTTTTTTTCGGTATTACATCGGTCCATTCATGGACAAATCGCGGACAATTATATCCAACTTAAGAATTAAGGAAAAATATTCATGTGGGTGCTGGTGAGAAATTTCATTATTTGTTTATATCTTTCTTTTTTTGGGTGGACAATCGAAAATTATGGTTGGACAAATCGTGAACGAATACTGTTGGTTTTTTATAAAATTTTGCATTCGAGGGTAACTTCACAGATCTGTAATCCGCGACCACCTGGTTGAAACGTCGCGGAACATTAGAACGGTTGTTCCCATGGGTGCACAAAGCGTCGAGGAATGCGAGGAACACTTAATTTCCGGATCCATCCGTGGCCCCGGGCCGAGGTCCGATTCGCGAGGAGGATTTTGAGGCGAGAGGAACCGAGCGGTAATCAATTGGACGTAGCCGGGGGAGGTTAGAGACGAGACCGCGAGGCGGCTAAGACTGGATGTAAATCATCCGGACAAAGCCGCTTAACGATCCGACAAAGGGCCCCGGCTCGGTCCTCGTCCACGAATTATAGAATCGGGAATACGCGCGCTCCTCCCGGGCCCTTTCTCGCCTTTTTAAGTATCGTCGCGGTTCCAAGCGGCGGCCAGTCCTCGCCGTCGGGCTCGTGGCCCGGACCGTTATGAAATTTATAGCCATTGGCAGCTTTTGTCCTCCGGATAGAACAAATCTTCGAGCGCGGTCCCCTGCCGGTGGATTCACCGATTTCGCGATTTGCGACTACGAACCGAGTCGAATCCACGATGAATTCTTTTTGCCAGGTTTGGAATAGTTTTCTCCCTTCCGCTGCATGGATTTATTACAATTGACTGGTGACAGCGAGATCCATTTGCTTGAGTCAGGAATAGATCTGATGGAGTAGAATAATGGAGAATGTCAGGGCAAGACTTAGATTCTTCGAAGGTCGGAATTTTCGATTGGAAACTACTCATCATTAGCCCACTGTGGGTTATAATGCAACGTCTTACATCCCCTGGATGAATCCCCATATAGCCCTATATTTCCCTAAGAAGGTCATTCGCGTACTGCATATCTTCTTACATAGTTTGGATCATGGTTATGTTACCTTAAGAGGCTCACCAAGTATCTCCACAGTTCAATCCTACAATTTGATTAAATATAAATGTTCAAAGAAGCCAACGAAGTGCTCTTTAAAGCGTATGAAATAATAGTCAACCGACGTCAATCGACAACCCAACCCCAGAAACAAGCACACCAGGTGACAGAAATCAAATCCCCGTTCTCTCTTCGATTTTCCAGGTGGTCAGCTCGATGGACGCGATGAAGTACTCCATGGAAGCGGACAAATACCGTGCGGCGTACATGCCGCCTAGTACCCTGGCGATGAGCATGTACTCGGACCCGAAGTACCTGGACTCCAGCCCGAAGTCGTACCTGGATCGTAGCTACCTGGACTCCGCGAAGGCGTACTTCGAGCAGTCGAAGCTCTACATGGACCAGAAACCTTCGATAGCCGACTACAACCGGCCCAGCTACGAGCACAACAAGCTCTACGAGGAGTCCAGCCCCGGAAGCGTGGTGGGCGGCGGTGGATCGACGAGGTCACCAGCTGCTGAGTCGCCTGATATGAGCAAGCAGCACGAAAGAACCGAGCAAGGTTCGTCGAGCGCCAGCTCAACGTCGACGTCTTCAGCGGCGAGCCCAGGCGCGAGTCTACCAGCTTATTACCCGGGTCCAGTTCAGAGCAGCGGGTTGCTTGGACCGCAGATGAGCCAGTACGGTGGCTACCAGACAGCCCCCACACCTGGGAACGAATCGTTCCGACGACCGTTGACTGTCATCTTCTGACCCGATAGAACGTAGCTCTGATCCATCTTCGAGGAGCAGTTGCCCTAGAATCCGGCCCCGAAGCCTGGTCCAGGGGTGTTTGGGTGTGAAGCTGTGAAATGTGATGACCGTTAATTGGAATACGAACCTGTCGGTTCGATGACGGGTACTGGGCCCCGGACGGCGAACGACGAAGCTGCTGATGTGGAAAGTCGGTCTTGGGATACGGAGGCTTCGGGTAGGCTTTCCGTTAAGTTGACGCGTAATTTTGAAGCGGGAAGAATGGTTGGTTGGGACATCGGTGAAATAGTTGGGATTCCTTTTCGATATGTCGGAATACCTGGACCTGGACTTAAAACAGAGTTAATATTTTCTCTCGTATGCAGGAGAACACAATAGAGAAGAAATAGTGATACTGAAAGATGTGATAAAGATTCAATGAACAGTGTGACCAACAAGTGACCTAAATTTAGGTACTCTAAGACTAGGTGCTCCAAGTATCAAACCACAATTATTATTCCAAAGTGAGAATCGAAGTAATGGGTGATCAGCAGAAGAAACATTCGAACCAGACTACAAGAAACGAAACAGCCCCGAATCCCAGGACCTCAACGTTCAGGAGCCAAACGAAAAAAATGGCCTGCACTCGAAGTAGCTCTCGGACCAGTGAAAGAGGACCACGTTCGCTTCTCCCCCGAAGTGACAGACCAGGGCCGCCAACGGTGCAGCATCGTTGAAATCGACAACGAAATCGAATCTCTCCGTTCTTAATCACCCGTAGGCGCTTGGAGCCAGACGCAACGATTATTTATCAGACGTAGGTTTCGTCCCCGCGGACGGAATGGCGATGCGAGATATTGTACATAGTCCCCGTGTAAATAGTGTAGCAAGGATTATTAACGCGCACGATGCTCGAAAACGGTTTTCCTCGAGTTTCCCCTTTCATCCATCCTGGAGAAGCATTTTCCAGCTCCCGAGCACCTGTCCAGGACACCATCCTTATGATCCAGGACCTCCTGCTTCGATCATCGGTACCATCAAGCGTAAGTCGTCGTTCCTTTCTGTCGGTAGCCTTAGGTAATAAGAAGTGTCGTCTCGGTTCGACTCGCCAGAATGATGACAGCGTCTCGCGCGACCAGATGGGAGAAAGAACGATGTTTCTCGAGTCGTAATCGCCTGTACATAGATCGCCACCCCTGAATCGAGAATTATTCTATCGCGTACCCCGACGAGTCTCTTGGTTTCCAGCATCAGTGATCGTCTCGATGACACGTCTGACGCGTCTATCCAGCCCTTATGTCCTTAGACACGACTTTCCACTTCGGCTTATTTATTATCAAGCTTTCCGTTTCTCTTTTCTTCTTGTTTTATACGTTGATTATTGAGTATCGCCGGGCTCGGAAGCCCGAACACGGGAGGGGGGATGTTTTTGAGAGCAACCGATGACGCTGATTACCGTCTTTGAATGATTCTTGCTGATGGCAAGATACGGATTACACGGCGAGGATCATCGAAGCGATGTGTGTCGACGGAGAAAAATCGTTTGTAAGATATTGTTTTTTTTTTTTTGCACCCTCTCTGTCCCATCAATTTCCGTCATTTTCCGCGAGATTTCGCTGCTGCCCTCATTGTTTTCCGTGACGGAAGTACTTAGTACTTTCACCCCGGTTGATCTTCGTTGTTTCGTTTTTATTTTTATTTTTCATTTTGTGGTTAGTGTCGTTCGTTCGAACGATCTTGTGAGAAAGAGATAGTTAGAGCTTTTATAGATGTTTCACGAGAGAGAGAGAGAGAGAGAGAGTAAGTGTGTGCGTCAGGTAGAGTGAAGGACGAGTGAGAGAGATTATGGAAGCTTCGGCGAAAACGTTCACGCCCCGCTGTACGACGTGTAACCTTTGTATTTGTATCGTTACGATAAACCTTACAACGCTGTACCGATTATTCGAGTATTACATTTAAAGCGGCAGAAGTAACCTATAAATATTGTACTGTAAGTGAGAAAGCAAAATAAACGTTAAGTATTATCCTTCGAAATGTGGTGTACGAAATGTCTTCCGTTCGGTTCATATTCAGTTTTAATGACTTTCTCTTTGGGCTGTGACTTTTTTCATTTCTTTCGGTGGATCGTTTGGATCTATTCTTAGTGTATCATCTATTTCTCTTCTGGCTTCGACACTTTCCTTTTCCTTAATTGATTGTTACGTGGATTTCTTCAGCTTGAGACCCTTCCTCGAATAGATCTTGTGAGTTTACGTTTTCTTTCTTTGATCTTCTACTCTGATTTCCTGTATTTTTCTATACCTCGTATGTGTTTGAAATTATTATTCAATAGTTGGCTGCTTGATATATGTTTGCAAAGTTGTCTGGTCTTCTTGATTGTTAGTTTTCATTAACATTTGTTGCAGTTTGTTCTTTTAGACACATTTTCATCACATCTAGTAACCTTCACCTGTACTTTCGTGCTAATTAGCTTTTGCATCAATTTGCTTCGCTCTTTACATCTTCAAATTGTACTTTTTCTCTCATATATTCTATCAAAAACAGAAGTCTTCAGATTCGTTATATTAACAGAAATACAGTTTCAGCGTACTTGAGAACCTTGCTTTATACGAGTCAATTTTGGTAGAAAATACCGATTGGTTTTGCTACTAAAAGTCCAAGACGGAAAATAAAAATCTGACTTCCCAGGAATGGTTGTATAATGATTTAGTATCGAAATACAGTCATAGTTCCTTCTACTCTAATAGAATAACATAAATCTTCAATATTCCTAACAATACTCTACTATTCAAAAATTTATGATCTCCAACTTGCTCGAAGTCAGTAACAAACTCTTAATATATATAAAAAAAAAGGACGATTTTTACAGCTTTCATAGACATAATGTCCTCCACATCTATAAAACATACAGTGACTCACAAATTTGTTCACAGAAACCTATCACATTAATTTCAACAGATTACATACCAACCGTATTATTCTAAATTTAACAAAACCTAATCAATTAAAAATCATGAGGTTACATAAATATAAATTGCCTAAAAATTACCTATAATTTTAAAAGTACATATATGAACGAATACATGAGTCACTGTACCTACATTCTAATCAGTGCCAAATTAAACGTCCTCATCTGTCATTCTCACCCACATGTTACATTGATCGACACATTACCCCAAACTCATCGATACTAAATTCTATGTCCCTCAACAAACTACTAAAAAAAATATCCCCAATAGTACATTTCCCTCATTCAATATTCCTTCCGCAGGTGCACCATAAAATGTCGGGGCTCGGTGACGAAAAGCACGTTCCATCGAATAGATCCCGGTAAGACACCTCTGGTTCCCGATCCACAGAGCCCGAACAATACCCTAAGAGTCCGAAGTTCCAAATACAAGATCCAGGATCGGTATTCCAGGGCCCAGGCCGGTCGAAAATCCCTGGAAACAAAGAACGCGCGTCTCGGCCAAGTTAACCGTGCACAATATCCATCGAAATCTGACACGCGGCCGAAGCATGAAGGTGAAAAACGCGCGACGGGAAGGTTCCTTCGGGTCCGCGGTTCATTGTCGAATGCCCGAGAAGCGACAGCTGCGATCGTGGCTGCCGTTCGGTGATCCCATTCATTCGTTCGCACCTCTGCGACACCCTAGAGCCGAAAACAGTTCCCTGTCGTCGAATCTCGCGTTCCATCGTGGCTGGCACGGTTTCCTCGGCCGTGAAAGGGACCGTCGGATTTGTGAGAAAATTCTTGACTGAATCCACCAGCGATTGTCTGAACTATCCTTTTGCAGGAGGCCGAAGGGAGACAGAGAAAAATTTGAGTTGAGTCAGAAGTAACTTCAGTCCTACGAATGGTATATGTTTAGTTAAGAATAATGGACTAAGAAAGAAAATTCTACCGGGTTTTCATAAGCACAGGTCTTTTACACCCCTCAAGATGGACGTTTTTCATGATCGTTTAGAATACTTGGGTCTGGTTAAACCCCTGGTCATCTGTTTTTAGATGCCTTTTGGAACGTACTTCTTCTGACTACACTTGTCCCCTTATATAATATATACAATGGTACTCTTGTAATCCTGGATTAAAAGGGCCGTACAGATCTCCTATCCGAGGGAAGAATGTATTTCTCCAGAATCTCCCCGGTCAGCCCACGAAATTCTGAACCTTCTCAAAGATTTCATCGATCCCAAATTTCACAAGCTATCCACCGAGCAAACATGAATCCGTACAATCATCCGCGGTACACAGAGGTCACTCGATCAGCAACCATCATTCCCGTCCGAATCAACAGACCATCAAATGGCAGAGCAGGTTCGCGCCGGGCCGAAAAGTGTCGAAAGCCGTCCAGTGGCTGAAACCAGCAGGCAGTGCCCCGGAGGGCATAAAAGAAAAGGTAACGAGCAGTTAGACGACTTGGCAGGGGTCTGTCGGCGCGCAGCAGCTCGTTTGTTTGCGGCTGGTAACTCGGAGTAAAAAGAGCAACCGGCTACGGTAGCACACGGGTCCTCCTCTTTCTCTCTTTCTCGCCTCTCTCCTTCCCAGGAATAATGAGACGGCGCCTCGTGAGAACGGTGATTACCGACTTATGCACGCCTCTTGCCGCGACAAACTGACAATTTTCACCATCATTATCCTCTCGAGGGGGTCCGCCATTGTTTCTGATCTCTGGAGAGCCATTATCCTGTCGAGACGCCGCAGCGTATACGCGTTCACGCGCGCCGGTTAGAGGGACACGCTCCCCCGTGATGCCTGGGCACCTTGGGGTAGAGGAGAAGCAGGAGGAAGGAAGGAGACGCGCGAGCCTGAAGTGGTGGCTACCATCTCATTAAATCCATTATACCGAGTGAGCAGCGGATGAACTCGAGCCGAACGCCCGTCAACCGCATCTGGGGCCCTCTTCTCGCCACCGCGCGCCCGGTTAGACAGATCGTTTAGGTGGAATCTAAATCATCCCGAGGGGGCCCCTCTTACCTTCTCTAGCCTTCGACCACGGCACCGTCGGCCCTTCCAGAGGACGTTCAACCCTGACCAGGACCGTTCCTTCTCTGACCACCTCTCACGACTTCATTAGTACCTGCTGACTTTGGAATGCCCCGCTTAGAAGGACCCCCGGCTACCCGAGTTCTCCCGACTGATGATTCGAACCCGATTCCTTTTTTCATGGATATCCCAACCGATTCCCAAGGCTACGCAGGATTCGATGGACGCATGGAGGAATTGATTGGGACTTGGTTCGATCCTTTTGTTGGGTTTTAAGTGGAACGTGGAAAGTCTTGGTACACGGGGATCGGAGATGAAGAGGTTCCGCTTCGAGGATTCACGCAGAGCGAGGTATCCGAAGAGATCACGCTGGCGGACCTGGTTTCAGATAAGTATATTCTTTCTTTTTGGATTGTGTTCTTTGATGTGGGTATTGATTTTTCGATTGTGTGGACTACTTTTTGAAAGTTGGTGGGAAGAAGTGTAAATCAAGTCGGTAGTTCTGAAATTTTTAATTTCTTGAAGATTGTGTTAGTAACACATTAAGCGCCATCGTGTAAAAATGTTATGTTCCTTTTGGCCACTGGGCGTTCGTTTGGTATACACTATCAAAACTAATACAGGTAGCCCATTAGACCAGATTGTATTCATTTGAATACAATGGCACTTAACGTATTAACTTCAGAATGTAGAAATTATTTTCACCTAATAATTGATCAGAAAGAAGTTCGAGTACAAGTTCCTCTAGAGTGTTTAGAACAATGGTCTATAAAGTTGGAATATTGTTGGTCCAAGTGCACTATGCGAGGTAAGCATCATCGTCAGTCGAATCATTATCAGAGTGATCAATTAAGACCTCACGTTGACCATTAATTTTTAATAAGGAAAATAACTATTAACTTTTAATTTTCTTTCCATATTTTGTCAAAATTCGTCTCAATATGAAAGGGGAATATATTGAAAAATAGAAGTATTTTAAAAACGATACCAATTGTCCAGCAACTTTCCAAACGACCCACATACACTTAACTTCAAGAAATAAACCTTGATAATAGTTTAAGTTGTTAAACCCATGTGATTCTGTTGATATAATTTTTACATGTACCAATGATTGCTTTCGTATTGACATTACCTTTCAGTCAGTTCAACGTTCATTACGACAACTCCACAGAGTCTACAATCTTCCCACGCCAAACACGTCAGAAAAGACTGTCAGTTCCCGCGACAGGCATTCCATACACAGTGTTCGAAGAATTCAAGCCACTTTCCCAATCGATCGTAACAAGTTGCAACATCCGATAAAACATCCAGAGATCCTCGATGGTCCCAACTAGTCGAGACGAAACAAAGTCTCTCTCCCTCTCGAAGAAAGAATTGCGTCAACGTCATCCAAGGAACAGGTTCTCTCGAATCGAACGTGTTCAGGCCGTTCACTTTTCGTCTCGTTATAAATCGCCGCGAATCTCGAATTCGGCTACCGGGGCTCGGACGTGAACGACGGTTAATTTAATTACTAATTATACGTCCCGTCAGTCGCGTGAACGACGAGTCGAGAATCGAAGCCTGTCGACAGCCAAGCCTCTGCCACCCTCCATTCCTCTTTCTCTAGTCGCGTTGAAAAGACGGTACAGACGGTTTTCTCATTAAATTCATTATAGACGGACGAGCAACGAGCTGAACGAGTGCCTTTTCGCCGGTTACCTTGAATCACTTAACCGGAATGTAAATCAGTCGCGGAAGCCCAGGAAGCCCGTACAAGTCCACCACCTCGCGGCTTCGTTAGCCTACGATCCGTCCATCGGTATTTCGATCGTTTCTAGCTACGACTACCAGGAGATACCAGGGCTCTTCCACTTCCGGTCGACGGTTCTCCACAGGTTGCGCCAGATTTTCCAGCCTCGAACTTTCCGCCGTTCCGAAAGAGGATTAATTACTCTCGAGATCGCGTAATTTAAATACCCGGGACCACGAGGCCAGCCTCGTCTTCAAGAGCCATTGGAAGCACGGAATATTATAATAATCGCGTTAGGTTCGTTCCGTGGTCCTC